AAGATAGATGAGTTTATAAAACAAGAACAAATGAAGACACCATATTATCATAAAGTTATTGAATGGATACCTTTTGATAAATTAGAAAATATTCAAGAAATTGGTAAAGGTGGATTTAGCACAATTTATTCTGCTACTAGGATTGATGGTAAACGAGGTTATGAAGAAAAGAATAGACATTTACTACAATCACGTGAGAAATGCAAAGTTGCACTTAAAAGTTTAACTGGGACACAAAATAAATCATCGAATTTTTTAAACGAGGTAAGAAATTACATAACATGTCTTTGATAAAAATAAAATGAATAACAAATTATTTTTGTATTAAAGTTTATAGCTCTTTATGAATGTCAAGTTGAAAAATTTAGTGTAGAAAGATATGGGATAGAAATATATGGGATAGAAATATATGGGATAACTTATAATATAAACAATAAGGAGTACATGATGGTTTATGAATATGCAGATAAAGGAAATCTTCGAGATTATTTGTCAAAAAATTTTGCAAGCCTCACCTGGAAGCAAAAATTAAAACTTCTTTGTTCCATATCGGATAATTTGGATTATATTCATCAAAGATATATTCATAAAGATTTTCACAGCGGTAATATACTTATAGTTAGTACTGGAGGTTTTGATTTAAATGCATTATTATATCATGTTTTTACTGTGAATAATAAACCAATAATGATTACGCAAAATATTGGGGAAAGGTTGGATATTGAACCAAAGATTTCAGATTTAGGAATTTCTAGTAGAATAGATGAAATTAATGTAGATGGTGGAACATATGGAGTAGTACAATATGTTGCTGATGAAGTATTATTGGGTCAACCGTATACAAAAGCTTCAGATGTTTATAGTTTGGGTGTAATTATGACTGAAGTTTCAACCGGAAAACCACCTTTTGAAAATTTGTTAACCGGAAAACCACCTTTTGAAAAATTGTCAATTGAGACGATACAAATACAAAAAGTTCTTAACAAATTGAGACCAGAATTTGCAAAAGGAACACCTGAATGTTATGTTAAACTTGCAAACCAATGTATGGATAGTGATCCGACAAAACGGCCAACGGCTAAAGAAGTTTACAAGAAATTACGGGAGTGGAAAATAATTCTCGATAAGGGAATTGAAGAATTAAATGAAGATAATCGTAAAATTAAAAATGCTTTTTTGAAAACAGATGAAATTATTTTTTCACAATTGCAATGGCATCCAGATGCAACAAAGTGTGCATCTCAACTTGAAGCAGATATTTCACAATTTGGGATCCCACAACGAGATTCTTATACATCTAAACTTATAATTCCAATATCTAAATTGTTAAATCGGGAGGTTCCATCTTATAACTAAATATGCCATCCAAAATCAACATCATTAAGGTTAACGCAAGTTATTGCCTTAGTTATTAGGTTTACAACTTGCTGCATTTCATTATCCGTGCCACTTAATTTTTACCCGCTACATTTATTTTATTTTATTTATTATTTATATTAATATTACCACATTTTTTTATGTTTATTTTTATCATGGTCATATTTTATATTTTATGGTTATTAATTTACTCGTAACTGCATAGTTGGTAACTGTGCTCTTAGAAATTAGATATGACATTGAATTAGCAATGTGTTTGACGTGATAGAAAATATAATAGAAGGCGTATAGACGTATTAAAGACCTTGCACTTTATTATTTCAGATTTTGATTAATATTTCGATCTATTAAATAAACAAATAATTTAAGTTTCTCTACCCAGTTTTAATTAGTGTTAGATACAGCAAGTAACGTAATAATATGCCATTATCGAGTATTTATAACTCCTTTTTCATAAAGTGAGTTTTGGGATTTTTAATAATTTATTTATATAAATATCGAAATATCGACCCCTCTTTTCCTTTTTACATAATTTTATTACAGCTAACTCATAAATTCTGGAACGACAATGAACTGTTGTAAGTCTGGAGCGTAACATCCAATCAAATGTATTGATTTCATTAATTAATCACGTGGTCGGACAGGCGGACAATGATCTGCGTGACAGACGCCAATGACCTCTAGTATGTGATGTATTCCTGAAAATGTAAGTCCTCCGCTACGCTCCGGACAATTATAGTTGACAATGACAAATTAATGTCAACAACGTGTTAATTCTGACTCAGTTTCGATTCGATTATTAGAAATTTTTCAGTTGTCCAGAATTTATTAAAACAGCTGTAAAAAGTTTTCTTTTGATCTTTCGCTCGGTCTATTTTCAAACTTAAATATATATT